ATTAAGTTTCACAGAAATCGTTTTGAGGGGCCCAAGTCTGGCCAGCGGCGTTTGGGTTCCTGCGGTCCCAGGCTAGGCTGCCCGATTGATTTTCAGGGGACGGTGGCCAGCTTTCCTTCCTGCGGGCTCCTGGGTTTGTTACCCCCGTACTTGGACAGCTTCTGAACCCCTGGGGTGCAGGCCCGTAGCAGGTTAATGCTCTGGCCAAGAGCTTGGAGTGCCATTAACTTGGAACATTCTTGTTTTTTACTGGCTGCCCCTTAAATGGTTACAGTGTGTGGCCAGTGAGCCAGTTTGTGAACGCCAAGGGCGTCCCATCTGCGCACTTCAGTCTGCGAGAAGTAAACAACTTCTTCGGGCCCCACTTGAAACACTGAAAGACGGGCAGCTGGGAAGGCCACCCCCGGTGCTGGTGGCTGCTGGTGGCCCCAAGACAGGCAAGGCACTGGGGGCAGGGGAAGAGTGCGGACCTGACTGGCCAAGGCGGGGTCGGATGCCGGCTCTGTCTTTCCCCTCCTCTCCACGGCCTTGGACAAGATCAGCTTCAGCTCCTTTATCTGCAAAGTGGGATGGTCCGTCTCGGCTCCAGTCCCACAGGCGGCAAAGCAAGAGAATGTGAGCGCAGGTGCCTGGTGTCCGGCAGGTGCCTGGAGACTGCTGTTATTCTCGGAGTCACGGCAGTGGGTTCAGGAAGGGATCAAGAGGGGGACATGTCCTCACACAGAGGCTGGGGCTCTAGCTTGGTCAAAAGGAGGAGTTAAAATAAAAAACAGTCACAACAAGCGGTAGTGCCTTTTCCTTTTTGCGGGACTCCTGCGAAAAGGAGTCATCTCCCCTGTATCTGCAGAACAAAAATGGGAGCAAGATAGGATAATTCTAGAATCCCTGTTTATAGATGGGGAACTGAGGCGTGTCAGGGCCAAGGTGGTTTAGTGCTGTTGCCCAGAGTTTGGCATACAGGCCATGGTGGGGACACAGGCTGTCACAGACTGCAGCTAAATAACATGGCGCCATGTGGTAGGAGACCTGGTCCCTTTAAATTTCCCTCTGATCTTCTGAGGACCCGCAGAGAAAACCTCCATCTCAGAGTAAGATGTGAGCCTTCAGGAGGTGAAAAGGTGTCCTAGAATTTATTCAGAAAATTTATTTGTTTTCATCGCTTACTTTTTCTTTTAAAAAAATTTATTTGGGGGGTGCCTGGGTGGTTCAGTGGTTTGGTGTCCAACTTTGCCTCAGGTCATGGCTCAGGGCATGATCTTGTGGGCCCACATCGGGTTCTGTGCTGACAGTTGAAGCCTGAAGCCTGCTTCGGATTCTGTCTCCATCTCTCTCTTGGCTCCCCTGCTCACGCTCTGTGTCTTTCTCTCTTAAAAATAAATAAACATTTAAAAATTTAAAAAAGGGTTTATTTTTATAGAGCTAGAAGAGTAAAGATGGGATATATTTTACATAATCAATGTGTATTTGTTATATAGTTACATAGTACATTATTTATGTAAATATATACTTACCTAAGGCATATCCTATAGCTCTGTAGTAAGTATATACAATAAATACAAATAAAATAATATAAAAACCACCCAATGCATCATTATTTTTGGAGTTTCATTCTATTTATGCCAGTCGATGCTGATTTTTCCATTTAAAGTGGTGACAGCCCTAAAAAATGGCCACAAACATTGCAGTGGTGGCTGTGATTGAATGAGCACCTGCTGAGTGCTAGGCCTGTGCAGAGACCCCCCGTGTCCTGTCTCATTCGGTCTCACTCAGCTCTTTAAGGCAGTCACCACCACAGGCTCGGGCTTTCCCCGATGAGTAAGCTGAAGCAGAGAGAGCTAAGCAACTTGCCAGGTCCCATAACCAGGAAGTGGCAAGAGCCGGGACTTGAACTCGGGCAGGCTGGCTGCATTCTCATAACCAATATGGGGACATAGAGTCTCTATTTAAAATGCAGTTAGGTATGCTTCTAAACGGTGAGTGCATTTGAACAAACAAACACACACACAAGGCAGTAAGGGCTCATAGTACAAATGGTACTTAGATCTGCTAAAATTCATGAAGGTGCCAGTGAATGATTAAATTTCCGAAAACAAGATGAAACAAACCTAGCCCCACGCAAGGTGCACACGAGGAAAGAGGCCCAGAGAGGGCGGGCACCTACTCCAAGCGGCACAGTAAAGGGGAACGGAGGAAAGCGAGTGCCCCAGGAGAGGCTGGGTGGAGTGGGGAGGGTGCACGGTGGGGGAGGGCTGCCGGCTTACTTGACTTAGTGTGTTTGTGTGTTGACAGATGTCAGACGGGGTCCTCTAACTCTGGGTCCCCATTCTCACTGCCGTCCCCAGGATTGCATGGGTGGAAGGGTAGCTATTGGGGTTCAGCCTTGCTTTGGAGGGGAGAGCATTAGAAGAGGTCATGAGGTCAGAGGAGCCTTTCCCTATTCTGCCAAATGGAAGGCGCCCCCCCCCCCCCCCCCCCCCCCCCCCCACTCAGNATGGGTGGAAGGGTAGCTATTGGGGTTCAGCCTTGCTTTGGAGGGGAGAGCATTAGAAGAGGTCATGAGGTCAGAGGAGCCTTTCCCTATTCTGCCAAATGGAAGGCCCCCCCCCCCCCCCCCCCCGCCTCGCTGGCACCGCAGTGTGGAAATAGCCCCTCCTGCACACGGGCAGTTTTGACATCATGTTCCTGACTGCAATACACCACCCCATTGCGTTTCTGCCATGTGGGTGCCAAGACCCTCCTTCCTTCAGAATGGGGGCTGTAGACATTCCCTCATTCTTTCTACAAATAGTGATGGGGCCCCACGTTGTGTGGGTGCTGGGGACAGAGTGGTGACAGGGACATTTGTCCAAACGCCATGAGCTAGTGCCCATGTTTTACAGCCTCCTGGCATTGGGTTTTGGCTATGGTGGAATAGCGCCATATTCCTTCTCAAAGTCCCTGTTTAATCTCCCTGACTCAAGGGACCTCATTTGTAAAAAATGACTTTTCTGGGCTAAATCAGCTCCCTGTATGCTGGAATCTTACTGTTTTCATCTTCCCTTACATCCCTTGGTGACAGATGGAGCCAGAGGTAGCAACCAGCCTGGGCCAACCAGAATGGCTTCCATTAGGCTTTTGAAGAGTTGAAAACCATAACCCATGGGCTCTCTTACTGCACTTGGTCAGAGACCCCTGGTCTTGTTCAAGCTGTCTTACAGGTGGAAAACGTTGTGGTTCGGAGAGGGACCTTTTGTTTGTCCTCCCACAACATTGACTCAGCATCTATTTTGGCCCAGGCCCTGTGAAGAGGGGCCAATGGCTGCTGTGGTAGTTTCTAGCGCTGCTGAGAGTGGTCACAGACTGGGTGGCTTAAAGCAGCATACGGTTGTTGGTTGCAGTTCTGTGGATCAGAAGTCCAACACGGGGCTCCCTGGGCTTAAATCAAGGTGTGGGCGAGCTGTGTTCTTCTCGGGAGCCTCCAGAGGAGAATCTGTTTGCCTTTTCCAGCATCTAGGAGCAGCCTGCGTTCCCTGACCTTTCCTCCATTTTTAAAGCCAGCGACATCACATCTCTCGGGTCCTTCTTTTATCACATTCCCCCTGAGTCTCACCTCTTCTGTGTCCTCTCTCACTTTGGAGGATCCTCACGGTTGCGTGGGGCCCACCTGGAGAGCCCAGGGTGCTGGTCCTATTTTAGGGCCAGCTGATTGGTGATGGTTATTTTATCTGAAGCTTCAATTCCTCTTTGCCTCATGAGGTAACACATCAACAGGTTTTGGAGATTAGGATGCGGTCGCCTTTGGGGGCAGTATTCTGCTTAGCATTCCTGTCCTCAGGGAGTCCAGCGTCCTTGAGGAGGGTGACAGTCAGTGTGGAAACTGCTATGATAGGGGCAGCATAGAAGCCCAGGAAAGGGGGCCCCTGATTCAGGAGGGAAGTCGGAGAAAATGCCATGGAACGGATGAGGGCTGACCTGAATCTTGATGGATGAGAGGGAGTTAGCGAGGTGGAGAGGGGGCGGGAGCGGGAGGCATCCCAGGAGGAAGGTACGGCATGTGCAAAGGCCCAGAGGTGGGTGAGAGATTGGACGGCAGTGAGGAGGAGATTCAGTGGAAGAGACAGAAGCCTGGGTCAGAGCAGGCACGGGGCAACAGGGTAGAGCGGGCAGGTAGAGTCGCAGGAGGTGAGAAAGGTGTAGGACATGGCTGAGGGCTGCGTGTGGGGAGAGGAGGGAAGAGGAGGGGCAGGATGATGAGCAGAGTTCTGGGAGTCTGGCTGGTCCGTGGGGCCATCACTGAGGTAGAGACATGAGGGGAGAGTAGGTTAGGGAGGTACTGAGTTGGGTTTGATGTGTTGGGGATCTGTGCCCGATGGCCATCTAAGGGAGGCAACCCAGCTGGTGTGTGAGTCTGAATATAGGAACTCACATAGCAATTATTAACGTCCATTAATCAGTTACTGCTGTGTAACAAACCACCCGAAACTCAGTGGTAAAAAGCAACAATGTTTGTTGTCAGTCATGCACCTGCATGTAGACGTACCCACGTAGTGACGCACCTGCATGTTGACTGCAGGCTGGGTTTCACTGATGGCTCAGCTTCAGACTGAAGGTCTGCAGGTCTGTCTGATGGTGGGACTTACAGATGCTGAGCTCCCCTTTCCTTCTGGCCCTGACCTGAACCCCCCTTACTATTCCTCTGCTCTGCTTTGAACCTGTGGATGATGTTTGAGCAAAGACCTGCAGGAGGTGAGGGAATGAGGATGTCTTGAGGAAGAGTATTCTAGGCAGAGGGAGCAGCTGGTGCAAAGGCCCTGAGGTGGAATGGTTCCCACAGTGTTAGAGGAACAGAAAAGAAGCCCAGTGTGGCTGGAGAGGATGATTGAGGGGTGGAGGTAGGAGAGGAGGTCAGAGAATTAGCAAGGGCCTTAGTCATATGGGGCCTGCAAGGTCATGGGAAGTGGCCACTACCCTTATTATGGCTGCCACTACCCCTTTTCATACTCTCCTCCTATTCCCCACAGGACCCCCCATCCCTGGACACAGCCATTCAGCATGCCCTGGCCGGCCTCTATCCCCCGTTTGAGGCCACAGCGCCCACCATCCTGGGGCAGGTATTCCGACTCCTGGACTCTGACTTCCAGGGGGATGGGCTGAGCTTCCTTTTGGATTTCCTCATTCCTGCCAAGCGCCTGTGTGAGCAAGTGCGTGAAGCAGCCTGTGTAAGTTGGAAGGGACAGAGGGGCTGGGGGACAAGCTCTCCCAGAACCGCGGGGCTGGAGGTGAGCAGAGAAGGAAGTGGGCTGGTGTGCGTCTTGTTTCAGAGCAAGAACCGAGGACATGGGATGGCTCTCTGGGTATCATCGCTCACCCGAGTGAGACTTCAGCCCCCCAGTGGGACAGGAGGCTCATTTGACCCTTTGCTCTCTGACGTCTAGGAGTCGATCACATTAATGCTTTTAGTACCAGGGAGGAAGTCCTGGATAAAAGGCATCCCTGGGTGATGGCCCCTTGGAGCCTGCCCTGGGGCTGGCATTGTGGGCTTCACCAGGCTGCCTTGGTCAGCTTCAGTGGAAATAGAGAATGTTCCAGATCTTTTCTGGAGCCCTTGAAGCCTCAGTACTCACTTTCTTCCTAGGAGGCCCCTTTGAACCCAGGTCTCAGGGATGCCTCTCTAAGGCAAAGTGGAAGGAAAAGTATTTTAGGTATAGGTCTCATTGACCGCAAATAGCAGATCCTTACTCAGACCAGGACAAGGTAATTGGCCTCATCCTCGAGTTCATACGCCAATCAAACTTCTTAAAAGGTTTCTGTGTCTTGTCTCTGCTTCTCCTTGCTTGCCAACATCACTCTCTCTCTTTTTTTAATGTTTATTTTAGAGAGAGAGAGAGAGGTGCAGAGACAGAGTACAAGCAGGGGAGGAGCAGAGAGAGAGGGAGACACAGAATCCAAAGCAGGCTCCAGGCTCTGAGCTGTCAGCACAGAGCCCGAAGTGGGGCTCGAACTCATGAACTGTGAGAACATGACCTGAGCCAAAGTCAGACGCTCAACCGACTGAGCCACCCAGGTGCCCCTTGCCAACATCATTCTTACAGGCTAAGTGTCTCCACAGGGCTGGAGCCCAGGGCAGCTCTGGGATCAAATCTTGTCCTGGAGAGGAGAAAGAACTTTTCCTCATCAACTGCAGCTAGAAAAGTTGCAAGGAAGGGTCCTGATTGGTCAGGCTTGGGGTCTATGTCCATCCCTGGACCAATCACTGCAGCCAGAGAAATGGGGTTGCAGGACTGATCAGGCTCCTACCCTATGTCTTCGGGTTAGAGGTGGTGACTGTTTTAAGGGTGGGGACAGGCTGTTGGAGGCCAAACCCAAGCACTTGTGCACACGTTTCTCGGGTTTGCCTGCCGTTAATGCCCAGTCCCCTGCTGTTCCCGCCTCAAGAATCACTAAGAGGGTCCTAAAAGGTCCTGCTGGCTCATGTGCATCAGCGACGATATATCGGGAGCAAAAAGTAAGGGCGGAGGCTCTGTGCATCATTTCAGTGGTAGAAAGAAATCGAATGTGGCAGCTCAGGTTTTGGAGCCAGAACTAGAGATGGTTGGACCTGGAAGGAGACTGAGGTCATTCTTTTCATGTGCTCAGAATGGTTCCTGGCACATAGAAGCAGCACCGTACATGGTCATGGTTACAGAAGGAAGACTCAGCGAGCATCTGCTGCCAACTCCCACATATCCACCCCGACACTATTTCACGTACATCCTTCCCCCCCGACGCCTTCCCCATGGCGAGCGTTAGAAACTCCCGCTTCCCTTTTGTGGTCATTAAAACTACGTTTTCACGGTCTCCTTCCCGATTTCTCCCGGGAACAAGGGTCACAACGTTTTAATGTCTCTATTTTTAACTACAGGTGGCTTTAATTATAATTATAGGTGAATCCCTATCGCCTCCGAGCCAGGGATGGGAGTAATAGTTTGGCCTCAGGAGTCAGTGCCCCAGGTTCAAACCCAGTCTCCATCACTGTGCAGCTGGGGGATCTGTGTCCCTTTTCTGAGCTTCACTTTCCTTAATGGGAAAGTGGGAATGTTAATAACACGGTCCCTGCCTTACAGAGAGGAGACGCACAGCTTAGCACAGAGCCGGGCAGGCAGTAAGTGCTTAGTAGCTGTTGGCTGTGACTATTGCACTCTCTCTTCTCTCCCTTGGAAGTAATGTGCCAGCTTTAGTCTGTCCTTGTAACCGCCAGCACCCAGAGGCAGCCAGCACCCTCAGAGGAAGTCCAGTGGGGATTAGACAGACACAGTTGTCTGAGCTCATGCCCTCTGAGCCTCAGTTTCCTCATCTGTAAAGAGGACAGGGATGCCTAAATTCCCTGCCCCACTGAGTTACTGTGAGGTCCAAATAAGGAGATCATAACCATCATCTCTGTGGTGTGTTGCTGTTTGCAAAATATTGCCGGATTGTCCTGCCTTGCTCAGTGAGGTGACTGACAGCACATTGTCAACAGCAGAGCGCTAGTGAAAGTGGTGGAGTAACTCACGGACCCATGGGGTTTATGGGTACGAGGTTGCCCCGAGGCAGCGGAGTTTACGGTGTAACTGACATGAACCGGTGTATCAACTTGGGGCACAGATATGGTCAGTTCTTAATACTTCCCCCAATGAATAATCCCAAGAAGTGCCTGCTCCGTTAGCGGGAAGTCAGTGTCATCGTGTGGAAGTCTCCCCCCAACACCTCCAAATTACATAAGATTGTCCGGGTTTTACTCAATCCACAGGAATTAGACTCTTTTCCAAAAGCCAGGTTGAGGGAGAGACTGTTGTCAGTCTGGTGGGGCTGCTGTTGCCACATGGTGTCACTGCTGGACCCGGGTCCACACCGCCCAGCCGCGCAGCCCCACCGGGGGGGGGGGGGTCACTGGGTCCAAAGGGCTCCAGAAGGCCCCGTTGTGGCTGCCTCTACAGAGACGTGCTGGCACCTTCTGTTTAAACAACAAAAAAATTTTTTTTAAGTTTTGCCTCACCTGCCATGTTGTTACCCAGTAAAGGGAAACAAACAAACAAACCATAAGACAAGAAATAATAAACATTCAGGCCCAGAATAATGGAATGATTTTTTTCATGGTTATCCAGCAAGTTACTGGAAGGGTCAGATTTCCTGACTTTTTGCTCAGTATTGTTTTGCTCTCCCTGTAATATCTTTACTTAAAAATTAGAGCACCTGGGTGGCTCAGTCACTTAAGCATCTGACTTTGGCTCAGGTCATGATCTCACTGTTCTTGGGTTCGAGCCCCACATCTGGGCCTCAGCTGTCAGTGCAGAGCCCACTTTGGGTCCTGTCCCCCTTTCTCTCTGCCTCTCCCCTGCTTGCATGCTTCTTCCCTCTCTCTCTCAAAAAAAATAAGCATTAAACATTATAGAATGGTATAAATGCAGTAAGTGACTATTTTATTTTTTATATTTTTTCAAGTTTTGTTTATTTATTTTGAGGGCAGGAGGGGCAGAGAGAGAGAAGAAGGGAGAGAATCCCAAGCAGCCTCCGTGCTGTCAGCACAGAGCCCGACACAGGGCTCAAACTCACGAACTGTGAGATCAAGACCTGAGCCAAAATCAAGAGTTGGATGCTTAACTGACTGAGCTACCCAGGCATCCCTGGACTGTTTTATTTTATTTTATTTTATTTTATTTATTTTTTTAAAAAAATATTTTTGTTTATTTTTGAGAAAGAGAGAGAACAAGTTGGGGAGAGGCAGAGAGAGAGGGAGACACAGAACCTGAAACAGGCTCCAGTCTCTGAGCTGTCAGCACAGAGCTCAACTCAGGGCTCAAACTCACAAGCCATGAGATCATGACCTGAGCCAAAGTTGGACACTCAACTGACTGAGCCACCCAGGCACTCCTAGACTGGTTTATTTACTTATTTTTAATGTTTATTTATTTTTGAGAGAGAGAGAGAGAGAGAGAGAGACACTGAGCATGAACGGAGGAGGGGCAAAAAGAGGGGGAGACGCAGGATCCGAAGCAGGCTCCAGGCTCCAAGCTGTCAGCACAGAGCCTGATGCGGGGCTCGAACTCACCAACCACGGGATCATGATCTGAGCCAAAAGCAAGAGTTGGACGCTTAACCGACTGAGCCCCCCAGGTGCCCCTAGTGTGTTTTATTTTTTAATTGAAAATTCCCACAATTTTTCAAAGGGTAAATGTCAAAAAGAGAGGAAATTAATGTTGGTTGAACATCCACTTAGTAGTGTATGCCAGGCATAGTGTTGTGGGTTTTTTTTTTTTTACACACATATATATAATCTCACTTAATCCTCCTACCCACCCAACCATATGATACATATTGTAATTCCTGTTTGCAGGTATGAACATTGAGGCTTGAAGCAGTTACGTAATTTGCACAAATTAGTGATTCAGACCTTGGAACCCATATCTCCCAGGCTCTAAATTGGAAGGCTCAGACCTGAGCGGGGTTGAGAGAGGTTTTGAATACGTGGGGAGAGGGGACGGGGACCCGAGCCAAACAGTCCTCACGGGAAAGGCATCTGCTCATTAGTGCCTACCGCTCGGAACTTTTCTCCCTTGGGCTAGTAGGCTAGCAAGCATTTTCAAGGTCAGGGCCAGGACTAGGGCAAGGCAAGAGAAGGCACCCACTCTCAGGTTTATGTGAGCTGTCAGATCCCGAGATGCGGTCTCCTAAGATGCTGCATCCTGGGCGCCTCTCCTGCCCGACCTGCTCGAGGGTCCGTCTGGGAGAGAGAAGGAAGCAGACCCGAGGGCAGGGGCAGGGTCCTTCAGGCCGGGCTCTCTGACGCCCCCCTTCTGTCCGCAGGCCCCGTACTCACGCCGCGTCTTCCTGCATGAGGGCTGGCCGCTGTGCCTGCGGGATGAGGTCGTGGTGCACCTGGCCCCCCTCAATCCCCTCTTACTGCGCCAGGGAGACTTCTACCTCCAAGTGGAGCCCCAGGAGGAGCAGTCTGTCTGCATCACGGTCAAGTGCCTCTCCTTGGACCTCCGCACAGTGGACACGAAGCCTGTTCCCGCGTCATCCTACCCTGTACTTTTCACCCAAACGTGGCTGGAGGCCATCAACAGTGACTTTGAGGGGGGCCCCCTACACAACTGCCTGGTAGCTTCAGAAGATGGGGTTGCTCCTGTGCCCTGGGCCAAGATAGCCAGCCCAGAGTTTGTGGATGACAGACCCCAAGCAGTGAATGTCCTCTCCCCAGCCTGGGGGTCCCTTGAATTAGAGGCCCTCGATTTGAGCAGCCCCACAGAGCTTCATCAGCCCAGGCCCTCAGGCAGCCAGGTGCTGCTTGCCCGGAGCTTGGCCAAGGGCAAGGGCGGGACTCACGGGGACAAGTACCCTGGACTCATCAAAGTGGAACAAGCCAGGCCTGGGGAGGTGGCCCTTAGGATGGACAGCGTGGCCAGCCAGGACCTCGAGGGAGACTATGTGGCCCTCCTGGAGAGCAGAGGAGGGTCTCCCAGTAGGGAAGTGGAGACGTCCAGTGGGTGTCCTTTGGGGGCACTGGAGGAACCAGCCAGAACTAAGGAAATCCCTTTCTCTCAAAGGATGCTGCCTCTTTTGGGGGACAGTGGGGAACCTTCCTTGGAAAAATGGGCTTGTGAGAAGCCAGCAAGTGCAGAAGAGGAGACCTGCGGGTTGATCTTGAGGAGGAAGGTCAACTATAAAGTTAACCCACCCAGCCGTGACTCAGAACATCAGCCCCAGGAGCCCTACCTCAACATCCTTGGAAAGCCACTGCCCTGTGCCTCTGGCCTTGAGATGCAAGAACCTCTGGGAAACCCAGAAAATATGGTCCAACTCAGGCCTGACCCAAAACGAGCATCCTTCCTACACCTGTGCTCAGCTTCCCCGCCTGCTGCTCCAGCCCCTGAAACCAAGATGGAAGAGAGGGCCAGACAGGGGCATGGGACACTTCCCAAGCCTGAGACTGGCCCCCCTCGGAACACCTCCTCTTCCAGATCCCCTACTCCTGGGCTCAGAGTCTCCTTCTTGAAAGGACAGAGGCAAGCCCCGGTGCCCCCTGAGAAAGCCTCCCTCCAGCACGACAGGCCCTGGAGAGTCTTGTGCTCGCTCTCCTCTCCCAAACCCAACCGAGCCAGGTGCTTGGGGACAGGTAAGGTGCCTGCTGGCTCAGCTGGACAGGGGTGCTGTTCTCTGGATGTGACCAGGTGACAAGGTGGCACAGGTTGCCAGGGACAGAGACCCCTCGGAACTGGCTCGGTCTCAGGGATTTAGTGCACAGGTGGCATGTCGAGAGGCTTGAAGTCTCATGGGTCTGGAACTGGGTTGTGTTGAGATGGCCTGAGCCCACACACCAGCTGGGTGACCTTAGTCAAGGACTCCTTCTCTGTGCAGTGCCTCACCTGCCTCCCAGAGTCATTTTGAGGTTCAAAGACACACCAGAAGCAAGGAGCTTAGCACAACGCCCACCACACAGTAAGAGATCAATAGGCAGAAGCTGTTATTAGCAGTCAGAAGGTGCAAGAGAAGACATTTCCTTTGGGAAAATCCATCTTCTGCTTAATACCCGTTTCCTTGTTGTTGTTTTTCATCCCCAGCTGGAACGACTCAGACCAAAACATCTGGCCCAGCTGCTGACTCAGGCCCACTGACTGGGGAAAAGGCCGGCTTCCCAGAAGTCATTCCAGAAATAGGCCCCCCTCTGGATGAGGAGTCCCCAGAGCCTGAGCCTAGGATTGGGGCTCTGAGTCTGGAAATCTTCCAGTCACGGATAGCATGCCTGCCAGGTCTCGGGGATTATAGGGCAGCTGAGGGTGAAGGGGAGGGTGCTGGTGGCGGGGGTGGGGGTAGGGAGTAGGGCAGCCTCTGAGCATCCTGATGCTGGTGGGTGTGGAGGAGACAGGGAAAGTCCTAGAGGCTTGTGTTCTGGAGCAATCCTCTCTGAGACTCAGGGTCTTCACTTTTCCGGTGAAGGAGTTGGATTCTATGAAAGCAATTTCTAGATATCCATCCATCCATCCATCCATCCTGCTTTCAGTGAGGCAGCAAGATGTCTTAGGTCAGTTCTCTAGAAGCAGGGCCTGAGACAGGGCTCCTTGGGAAAGTGACTTGTTGAAGGTTGTTCTCAGGAGAAGGAGAGTAAGGGAAGCAGGACAGATCAGGGGAGGAGCTAAGCAAGGGTGTGGCCTGGCCCCATGAAGAGCTCAGGAGCCTCAATGACACCACAGAGCTGGTTCCATTTTAAGGTGTAGGGGGCAGGTCTTTTGTATGCTTGGGTCTGTTGGTCATTAGCCCGGGCTGATCCTGGGATGGGGATGCAGGGTGAGCCCATGATCCAGTTCGGTTGAGGTCAATTCTCCAGAGAAGGGAGCATCTGTGAGCCAATACGACCAAAGCCAACAGCCTCTGGGAGATGGGTACTCCAGTCCCACAAAGAGATCAGAGCGGCGTGTTACCAGCATCCAGTACAGAGGGCATTCTCACTCCCGTTTAATATTTATTCATCGTTGCAATAAATATTTCTTTAGTACCTGCTGTGTACAGCCAGGCTCTGGGCTTAGCACTGAGGACTCAGCAGGGAACAAGTCCGGTGTGCGCTCTGCTCTCAAGAAGTCTATACTCTAGTGGTAGAGAAAATGCAACAGGTTTTTACAACAGGTTATTACAATCCAGTGTAAACACACTGCAGCTGTGGGGCCGTGCAGGGCTCTGTGGGAGGACAGATGGGCACCATGGCCCAGGCTTGGGGTGGAGGAGAGGTCAGGGAGGAAGGTGGAAGCAATATGGAGCTCAGTCCTGTAGAATGAGTAGGCGTTATGCAGATAAAGGGGTGGGAACAGTGTTCCAGACAAAGGAAACCGGATGTGTAAGTGTCCGGGAGTAAGAGAGACCACAATGAGACCTACTGGGACCTGCTGTCTTGAAATTCTATCTTACCTTATAGACTCCTACGTCCCTGCAGGCTCCTGGGCACTGCTCTGTCTTTTCGAAGCTCCTAGGGGAGCACTGTCTGTCTTCTTCCTGGTCGTCTTTATCATGGCTCCTGCTGTTTTTTCCCCCGTATTGGACATGAAGGATTTCACAATCCTTTACGGCTGTCGTGTTCCAAGTGCTCAGATTTTATCCATCAAAGGGCCCTGCTCTGGGAAGCAGGAGACCATTCTAATTTCAGTTCTTTTTTTTTAAATTTTTAAATGTTTATTTACTTTTGAGAGACAGAACATGAGTTAAGGAGAGGCAGAGAGAGAGAGGGAGACACAGAATGTGAAGCAGGCTCCAGGCTCTGAGCTGTCAGCACAGAGCCCGACGTGGGGCTTGAACTCACAACTGGTGAGATCATGACCTGAGCTGAAGATGGACGCTCAACCGACTGAGCCACCCGGGCGCCCCTCTGATTTCAGTTCTGTCAGCTTCCTGTGTGGCCTTGGAGGAGTCGCTTGCCCTCTCTGAGCCCCAGGCTCTTCCTTGTGTAAAAGGAGAAGAAGCAGGCAGGACTTGGCTCACTGTCATTCTTTCCACAATGACTCTTATTGTAATTTTGGACTTGGAACACACACTGACGGATCTCAAGTGCCTGGAGCAGTGTCTGGTGCATGGGGGGTGCTCAAAGCGCATGTGCTGAGTGAGTGAATGTTCTCCATGTAGATGCTCCTTCCATTTCCCCCCTTGACCTCCTCGTCTCCAGTGATCTCGTCCTCATTCCCCCAGCTACTCCTGCCACAGCCACCTCCGTAATTACACCGCACTGCCCCTCCTCCTTGCTCCCCCACTGGCCCAGTTCCAGTCCTTTCTCGGTCCCTCAGGCCCTCAATCTACTGGTTCAACCACCTTCTCCTTGTGACCTCCGCCATGTGCTCACTCCTTCCCAGCTTAGGTCCCAGGCTCCTCATCACAATCTCTCCCTTTCGCTCACAGGCCCCCCAGTCTCTCCCTACCACCTTCCACCTTCCCTGGATAAATCCCAGCCTCTGTGAAGTCCAGCTCCCTGCCCGATCCCCACCCGCACCCTCAGAGCTGGTCAAAGCTGGGGGTCCACACAGCTGTGCCGACAGGTGGCCCGTCAGACTCGTGATGCTGACCTGCCCCGTGGGGCTGTGGATCCTTCACTTCCCGAGTCCTAAGTGAATTCCCCCACCGGCCCCATCGATGACTTTGCACGCCACTTCTCCGACCTTCACCACTGCCTCCCTCAGCCTTCCTCTCAGCTCAGGACCTTCCTTCTTCCTGAAGGAGCCCACAGACTCCTGCTGCCCCATGTAGCCGCCCTCTGGTGTCGGCACAGCCCGCATTCTAGAACAGGTGAGCCCTCGCTGGTGCTGCGCTCCTGCTCACCGGCTCAGAGACGTCCCTACAGCAAGACTCTCCTCTCCTCCCTACATGCTCACCTTTCTCTTCTCTCTCGGACCAGCCCCACCAGCATAAGATGTGCTGGTACATTGTCCATCTGTCTTCCCACCTTTCTCTGACTGCCTGTAGCCAGGAAAGGTGTTCAGTGTTTAAGGATCACATGATGAGATTAGCTGATGCCGCCTCTGTGATCAGGCTCATCTTCCAACTGGAGGTCCTGCTTTAATCGTATCTGCAAAGTCCCTTTGCCAGGTAAGCTGGCAACCCCACGGGCGGTGGGATTAGGGCGTGGGCATCTTTGGAGTCATAACCATGCCTACCGCGGGCACCAGCCTTTGGAGAGGGCTTCTCAGAGTCGTTACAGAAGCACCCCGAATGCAGGAGAAAGTATACAGGGTCCCAGGGGTTGAGACCTTATCCCCAGCTCTTGGATGCTCTGCGCATATCTTTTCATCTTTAAAATTTCTTTCCATTGTGTATTCCGCTTAAGAATACATTCATATGTGTTTCAATATATAAAAAATGCTCTAAATTGCTTGCCAGTCGAATCACATATCATTTCCCCCATCACTGGGAGTGAATAATGCCGCAGAAAGGTGCAACAGTTTTTTTAAAAGATTTTTTTTGAATGTTTATTTAGTTTTAAGAGAGAGAGAGAGAGAGAGAGAGAGAAAACCAGCAGGAGAGAGCCAGCAAGGGGGAGACAGAGGATCCGAAGCAAGCTCTGCACTGCTCATGGTTCGTGTGGAAATCAAGAGTTGGATGCATAACCGACTGAGCCACCTAGGTGCCCCAACAGTTTTTTTTTTTTTTAATTGAGAGAGAGAGAGAGAGAGAGCAAGCGAGCAGGGGAGGAGCAGAGTGAGAGGGAGGGAGAGAATCTTAAGCAGGCTTCATGCTCAGCATGGAGCCCGATGCAGGGCTCGATCCCACAATCGTGAGATCATGACCTGAGCCAAAGTCAGATGCTTAACCAACTGAGCCACCCGGATGCCCCTCTTCTTCTTCTTCTTTTTAATGTTTATTTATTTCTGAGAAAACACACGCACACTAGTGGGGGAGGGGCAGAGAGAGGGGGACAGAAGATCCAAAGTGAGCTCTGCACTGACAGCAGCAAACCCGATGTGGGGTTCAAAGGCACAAACTGTAAGATCATGACCTGAGCTGAAGTCAAAAGCTTAGCCAACTGAGCCACCCAGGCGCCCCCACTTTTCCTGTTCTTATAAGGGCACCAGTCAGACTGGATTAGGGTCACCCCAATCACCTCATTCTAACTGAATCACCTCTTTATTTTTTTAAAAATTTTTTAATGTTTTATTTATTTCTAGGAGAGAGAGAGAGACAGCGTGAGCAGGGGAGGGTCAGACAGAGAGGGAGTCACAGACTCTGAAACAGGCTCCAGGCTCTGAGCTGGCAGTCAGCACAGAGCCCGACGCGGGGCTCGAACCCACGAACCGCGAGATCATGACCTAAACGAAAGTCGGACGCTTAACCGACTAAGCCACCCAGGCGCCCCATGAATCACCTCTTTAAAAACCCTATCTCTAACTACAGTCCCATTCTGAGGTCCCGGGGATTAGGACTTCAACATAGGAATGGGGGAGGGGGCAGATGCGTGGGGAGGGCATGATAGAGCCCATAACACAAAGTATATGAAATGAGCCCGGAAGAGCGTGCAGACCCTGGGGACTTAAGTGCCAGGGCAAGAAGCCGGCACCTTTTCTTGGAGGCCATGAGGAGCCACGGAGGGTTTAGAGTAAGGGAGTCATACCCCGGGAGCCACTACCGAGCTCCCATCATGGGTCTAGCAAACAAGAGCTCACCTTGCCATGTGGTCAAGGGCTGGACCAAGCATGAGCCCCAGCCTCACGGCCAGGTTAGGGACCTGGCTCTGTGGGAGACTGGGAAGCCGCTTCCCTCTCCAGGCCCCCGTTTCCTCGTGAGTAAAATGGGCCCAGGGACGTGATGTGGCATTTTCCGACCCGACGGCCCCAGTGACTACAAGAGGATTTCAGAGGGACACGGACAGACATCTCTGACTTTGCAGGTTATGTTGTTTCCTCATGGTTTAATCATTTCATGTATTTTGACTTCCTATTATGAAAATTTTCAAACATACAAAAAAGTAGAGACTGTAGTGTAATGCACACCCACGTACCCATTACTCAGATTTAAGAAGTTTTAACACTTAGGTATGAATGATAGATCTTTATATTTTACCCCCAAATGCTTTAGCATGCCTCCCTCAACTAGAAGGGTATTTTCCCTAATAACAACAATACCATTAGCACATCTAACAAAATGAAATATAATTTCTAACACTACTCGACACCCAGTTCATATTCAGATTTCCCATATTGTCCCCAACACAATGTTTTTCCTTTTGAAATTTATGGATGAATATTAGGAAAAAATCAAACCCGTGATACCGAGAGGATATGAAGTTACACACACACACACACACACACACACAGATGTAGATCTTTTAAACTTTTTGAATTCCATGAAATTTTCAAGCATATGTGAAAGAATGTTCCAGAAGTCTGCACCCCTGTGTAAGATAGCACTTAGGAAGGTAGTTAAGTCTGTGTCCGAGGCTTCACGAGCCATAAAGGGTCTTGCACGCTTACACACTGTAGAGGGTTGTGCCCACATGGAGTGGGCGGTGACCATTGCAGGAAAGTTCTGTGTGATGTGACTCTCCGGGGCCGGGCTCTGAGCCCAGGATGTGAGACAGGCCCAGTTTCCAGAGGCCTGGGCCTCATATTCCCATTGTCCTCTGCCCTCGCCCCAGCGCAGCCCGGCTGTGCTGACCCCCTGGGCCCCAGACTCTCAACCCCCATGGGGAGAGTGGGTCACACAGCCCTGATTCCTGGAACAGGAAATAGTCTGTGAACGACCTGGGGTAAAAGTCTGCTGGAGTAAATAGTGAGCTGGTGGCCACGGGCTGCACACCAACCACACGGGGGGCACAGACAGGACAGAGATGACGATCCTTATAACCACTGCTGTCACCGAGCCCTCGACTCAGTGTGCCTCTCAGGAGCTGTCTCCGTTAGTCCTCAAAATCACCTATCAGCTCAGTGTTCTGTTCTCCCCATTTAACAGACAAGGAAACAGGCTCAGAGGCCCACTGACTGGCCCAAGGACACACAGTGAGTCAGCGCAGAGCTGAGACTTGAACCCATCACGTGGCGGCAGAGTCTGTCCCATAAGCTGAGCCTCCCAGGATACTCCAGGCAGAGGGGGCTCACAGGGGGATGAGGCTGACTCTGCATGGAGGAGGCATTCAGGGACAGCTTTTCCGATGCAGTGGCTTTTGAGCTGGGTCTTAAAGGCTAAGAGTTCAGAGTTCGCGGGGAATGAGAGAAAAGCCATCGCAGGTGGAGGGACTCGGAGGCTCTAGAGCAGATTCGCCGTAGTTCTTGCTGCTCACGTGTGTCCTGTCTCCTCCAGGTGGTCGGGACAGGGCGGGCAGGCGCCTGCTTTTGGTGTCAACCGCTGAGGGGGCCTGGGAGGCACCGTGGTGCACCGTCTCAGAAGTCACCAAGTTGCTCTCCTACCTGTGCACCGTCCCCAGGTAAGGGGCTGGGCCAGCCGGTGGCTCTGTCTCCCTTCCATTTCTTGGCCCAGAGCCCAGGACCAGGGACTGAATGGAGAGGCACCAGGTCCTTCTATTCCCAGAGTCAGTCCCAAGCCAGATGCTGGGGGAGTAAAGCAGGACAGACTTAATCCCTGCCGTCAGGGAGCTCCCAGGTCGGTGGGGGAGGGGTGGATGGTGTGCAAGAAACAGAGCGTGGACAAGAAGCTCTCAGGGGTGTCAGTGTGGTGAAGAAAACAGACGGGTGTTGTCAATCAGTGTTCCGTAAACTCGAGCATACATCAGAATCGCCCCGAGCGCTGTTAAGACAGATCACTGAGTCACACCCCAAGTTTCTGATCCACATCTTGGGCCTGAGAAGTTGCATTTCTAACAAACGTCCTGATGCTACAATGCTGCTCAGCTGGGGATGCAGTTTGAGAACCACTGCTATAGAGTGAGAAGGGTGGGCGACTAAGTTCAACTGGGAAATCAAGGAGGACATCTTGAAGAGGTGATAATTGAGCTGGCATCTGATAATTATAAATACTGTTGAAAATAAAGGGCAAGTGAGTGAGTGAATGGATGAGGAAGAATTTGTGAGTAATGGGTGATCAGGCTGATTGCTCATAGCTCTCTTCCCCCACCATTCATACTTCACGTTGGACTGGCTGGGGAAAGGCCCATCCTTTCCCGGAGTCCCAGCTCCCAGCTAGAGGGTCTCAGAGGTGGTGTTTGCTCAGGACTGTGGCCACAGACCCCAACCCAGCCTAGAGGTTGTGCAGTTAGGGGGTGGGAAGACTCATGGAAGGAACCCTTTGGAACCTTCCCCACGTGCTCTGTCTCATGGGAGCTATCACTGCCACCTGCTGGCCATTGAGATTTTTCTTCCTCTTCTCCAAAGCAATGTGGGTTTCCTGGCCTGAGGGGGGAGATGGGACCCCCTTTTTGTGCTGAGAAGTGGCCAGTGTGGTAGACAGAGTCCTAGAATCTTTGATCTTGGGGCGGTGACCTCCCCCTGTGAGGCTTGCCTGAAAAAAAGGGATGACCAAGTGGACTCTGATGACCAATGTAAACTGCAGTGGACTGGGCCCAGCTTCACACCGGGCCCTGACCTCAGGGGCCTCCAGACCCGTGGCAAGGTCCGTGTGGAAACAAACCGCTCTCCCAGCGTGAACAGGGCCAGAGGCAAGTGAGGTGTGGGACATGACACCTCACCTCCAAGAGTCTCTTCTTCCTGTCTGCTATGTTGCTGCTCTGTGCCTCAGTTTCCTTTCTAGGGTGATAGCAACCAGAAGACATTTATATTCCTCTTGCTCTACTGCAGTCACTGAGTGCCTTATGCTAATGAATTCATCGGTCCTCACTGCAGCCCCACGGGGCCGGAATTATTATTAGCCCCATTTACAGATGGGGAAATTGGCTCTCACCAAGATGAAACAGCTTGCCCGGGTGAGCAGATACTGTGTCAGGGCCAAAATTCCACCTCCATGCAGGCGACCTCTGGTTTTATCTATGAACTGGCTGGACGCAAGGCTTGAAGGCATTGGGGGTTATTTTCCCAACCTGCCTGATCATCACGGTGGCCAAGGGCACTTGGAAGCACGCAGACTCCCCGCCCCACCCTGTACGTGCTGGCCAGATGTCTGGGGGCATGGGGGAGGGGCGGGAGTGAGGAGCTGATATATATATATATATATATTTTTTTGCTAACTCAGATTTTTATTTATTTATTTATTTTTACAAATAGTTTATTGTCAAGTTGGTTTCCATATAACACCCAGTGCTCATCCCCACAAGTGCCCTCCTCCATGCCCCTCCCCCCCTCCCCCCCACATCCAGAGGAGCTGATATTTTTAACAAGTCCTGACAATTGAGCCAGTTTGAGACATCCTAAAGTAATCCCTGAAAAGTACAGAGTGTCCCAGTGACAGCGTTTCGGCTGCAAGTAACAAATTCCAATTCAAAATGTCTTTACTTCTAAGGAAATTTATCTTTCTTGGTCTCTGTAGTTCTTAGTAAGAGCCTCTGAAAGGAGATCTTTCCCGGAAGTCCCCTAGCAGACGTCTCCTCGCTTCTCATTGGACAGAAACATGTCACATGACCCCTGCTTAAAGCAACCATTGGCCAGAGAAATTGGCTCACTACTCTGGACCTCAAACAATTAGGAACCAGCTGCTGGGGGACCTGTTCTATGGAGGGAACTGGATTCTTGAACCCAAGCAGGATTCTGCCCACGGGAAGGGGTGGGTGAATGCTGGGCGACTCACCCACTGCAACTGGGATGGTGGCTTATAGCTTATGATTGTTAGGGTGTGAGGGAGGGCTGCGTGAGGTATTGTGGGAACACGAAAGAAGAAGCAATGGACTCTGCCTGGAGAAAGATCATGGAGGGCTTCCTGGAGCGGGGTAGCCATGGGCAGTTGGTCTTGCAAGATGAAGAGCTCACCAATAAATCAAGGCTTCTGGCAGCCAGCCCCCCCCTTCCAGTAGGTCCTTCCCCTTAGAAAGTCCCGTCCACCCAGCAAGACTGCCAGTGCTGTTTCCTTCCCGCCCACAGGCCTGAAGATAAAACTAAGGGGCTGGCGGTTGTGATTGATGCCCGGAAACAGCCTCCACACCCTGGTCTGGTCAGTGCCCTGCAGGCCACCCAGGTGAGTGGGAGGCAGACAGCCTCAGCCTAGCAAGGAGCTTGGGAGCTCCGGGGGACTTGTGACATGCATGGATCCCAGGGGGCTCAGAGCAGGGACCAGAAGCCCCAGGTGGCAACTCTTAGCTGCAGATACAGAAATCCCAGCCCCGTCCTGAAGACAGAGTGAGTTCATTGGTTCATGTGTCTTGATAATCCAGAAGTTACACAGCTTGATTCAGGGGCTCAAATATTGTCACCGAGGCCTGGTTGCTGTGCCCACTTCTGGCCCAGTTCTCCTGGGAGGATGCTATTCGCAGCCAGGCTCCCTGCCTTGGTGGCAGTTTGGCTCTCTCTTCCCATGGTCTTTCATTTAAGTCCAGTAGGTTCGCTTCCCAGAGGTCCCAGGAGGTTTCTTTCTGACTCCTTAGCTCAGGTGCTCACCTACCAACCTACCTCTGTGGCCACCCTGATGGGTTTAGACCTATGTCCCAGGAGCCTTATGAACGGAGGAGGGAGGAAGGGGTTCCTAAGTTGATGGTTTAAGCAGCAGAGAAAGCAGAACATTGGCACACTTATCTTATGATCTGATGCCCATCTCTTCCTTCTCCTCCTCACTTTATAGATGGGGAAACTGAGGCTCAGAGGGGACTGGTCATCTAGGAAGCTTGCAACACAGCTTGGACCTGGTGCTCTATTGACTTGCAATGATTCACCTTCCAAACATACCGAATACATGTCCCAGCCGATCTCCACCCCCACCCCCAGCAGTTTGCCTGTTAGCGGGGTGCTCAGTGAAGGTCTAGGCAGAACTTCACCTCTGAAATGGTTTTCTCTGACAGGCTCTGGCCCCAGCCTCCATCTGCGCTGTGTTCTACCTGGGAGAGAAGGAGGCCGCTCTCCAGCTAGAAATGTTACCTGGTACCCAGGTGAGGGGGACACTGAACTGAGCGGGGGGGCGCAGGATTCACCAGCCAGGACCCACCTGGAATAACCCAGTGGAGGTCAGCAGATACAAGGCTGGGCGCTACAACTCCCAGCCCTGCCTCTGTGGCAAATGTGGCCAAATCAATCGTATAGTGATCTCTCTCTCTCTCTGGCAACCCCAGCAGCTCCTGGTGGGCTCTACCACGTGACTGAGAGAGGCCTGTGGCATGAAACTTATTTTTAAAGTTTCAGCTCCTCAGCCCCTCCCTCCTTTTCAGGTGGGGAAACTGAGGCCCAAAGCCACACAGTAAGCTAGAGGCAGAGATGCCTTTTCCATATTGTAGCCTTGATCTTCCTGCATTTCTCTCCCTGGTTTCTCTTGTCATCTCCAGCTCAGAGCCCGAGATGATCTGGGACTTTACAGGCAAGAGCCCTGCAGTTTTCTTTCACTAGTGCCATGTGCCACCGTCATGAGCGTGGGCACCCTGCCCTCTGCCGCTTCAGGAGATGATTTTAAAGGCCTCCTTCCTCCTCCTCCCTGGTAAAGAGTCACATTGTGAGCTAGAGATGTGCTTTTCAAGCATTCATGTGCCAATGAACCCTTTGGGGACCTTGTCAAAGTGCATGTTCTAATGAAGTAGCTCCGGAGGAGACCTGGGATTCTGCATCTCTAACATGCTCCTAAGTGATGCTGATGCTGTTGGTCCGTGGACCACACTTTGAGTGCCAAGGATAACAGATGGACCCACAAAACCAGAATCCGCCCAATCCCACACTTAGGCATCTGGAAGTGTTCCTAGCATAAACCTCTAACTTCACCGTCCAGGAGAAGCAGGCACCTTGTCCTTCCTCCAAGTCTCAGAGAGCATATGGTCAGGATTTGGTGACCTTCTCATCAGCCCCAAGAAGGAGACACCACCTTGGTGGGTCACCAGAGAACAGTACAAGGACTACAAAGAAGTTACATGACCAGGGTCGGCTTCAATCAGTTTGTGTAATTGCTTGGAGAGCTGTGCTGGGAAAGAGCCCAGCCTAGAGGGAGTCAGTGTGGTGATTGATTAATGATGTCTGCCTTGGGCACAGGCTAGCAAAGGGGCGGGATCAGTGCTGTTTACTTGCCGTTCCTCAGCTGGGGTCTCATTCTGAATTCTGATTTGTCAGACTTTCCAGAGAAGATCCTTGCCCAGAAAGCAACTACAAAGCCAGGGCCAGCCTTACCTGTGGCAGACAGAGTGGTGTTGGTGCAGGGACCTGGCAGCCCTTCTCAAACGTATGTCCCCACGCTGGGTCCCCTGGTCATGCTGACTACCTTCTTTCGTCTGCAGGTAGAGGTGGTGACCTCACTGAGAGCTCTCAGCCACCACGTGGACCCCGGCCAGCTGCCCGCAGCCCTGGAAGGCCCCTTCCCCTACTGCCACAGCGAGTGGGTGCAATTCTTCCAGGTGTGTACCATCGCAGCCTTTACCCCCACCCTGACTCCTTCTCTTCACCATCCTGCCCCGTGGATCTAGGGACCCTGTCAGGCCCAGAAACAGTCACTCAACACACATGTATAATGAGGGTGCAGAGCCCAGTAATGAAGACCTCGGGCTCTGCGCCCAGACTCCCTGGGTTCCAATCCCAGCTCTGCTGTGTGACCTTGGGGAAGTTATGTATCTTCTCTGAGCCCTTTTCCTCCACTACAAAATGGGGGATAATGGCAGTACTTTTCGAGGGGGCTGTTGTGAGGCTTAATTGAGTCAATGTGGATGAAGAGCTTAGAAGAGTGTAGGGCGCATGCAAAGGGCGGGGTCTACGTTAACGGAAGATAAAATTGACAGACATTTGTTCTGTGGACCCACGCAATTCAGAGAGCTCAGGGTCTGGTGGGGGAGGCAGACTCGTTCCCTCCTGACAGAAGGAGGAAATAAAGAAACTTCTAGGGCTGCACTCCTTCCCTCTATGATCTCAGGCTCTTCTCCACACAACCCTGGAGGGGCCATTTCATGCCCAGTTTAGTTCATGAGGACACACAGGACGGGCGTGACTTGTGTAATAACACACAAAAAATTCCAGGCTTAAATCGCACAGAAACCGGGGCCCATACATACTGTCCTGGACCCTCCCTAGACCAGGGCTACTCACCCTCGGCACAAGCCACATTGGGGATTGGCCACTTTTTTTGTCGGGAGCAAAAAAACCACACTTGTTTACCGTAGTGTGGTTAGTGCCGTCCCTGGCCACTACCCACTCTGGCAGGAGCACCTCACAGATGACGACAACCAAAACCATCTCCAGACATTGCCTGATGTCCCCGGGGATCGAAATCAGCCTCCAGCAAGACCTACACGTCTACACTAACAATCCAGTGCGGTGGTGTGTTTATTTGTTTTGGGCTGGGATGCTGTCCTTTTTATCATATGCTTCATTTTGAACAGGCAGTACGTGAAAAATTCAAATGGTACTAAAGGGTATATTGAGCAGTCTCCTCTCAAGTTCCCCTGTGATGAACCCAGCGGCCTTTGAACTGTAGTTTCACTTTAAAACCTTCCCTTGAAATGAAATCTAACCCGTAGACCCAGCATAGAAAACTGATAATGATGTTGGCTAATACAAAACACTGAGTGCCTTGCACAAATGTACCCATTCCAGCCTCGTGCAAGCCTCTGAGGTAGGAATGACTGTGATCCCATTTTACAGAAGAAGAAGTAGAGGTGCAAAGAGGTGAGGCAACTTGCCCAAGGGCTCACAGCTCACTGGTGGTGGAGCTGGGCTGAAGTGGGACCTGGCAGAAGATGCCCCTAACTCTGCCCTCCCACATCTGCTCCCCTTCCCCAACGTATTCCCTTAGGGCCTTCTTTCTGCTCCTTCTTTCATTCCCAGCACCAGTGGTTCTCAAAGTATGGTCCCTGGACCAGCAGCCTCAGCATCACTTGGGACCTTGTCAGAGACGCACATTCTCAGGCCTCACCCAAAAGGAATGAAATCAGGGACTCGGGAGTGGGGCTCAGCAGCCCGGATTCCCTCCAGATCTCCAGATGATTCTGATGCAGCTGAAGTTTGAGGACCACTGCCCAATCCCCACCCCATGTCCTCTTGGAGTGGGCAGATGTGCCCCCCTCGCTGGCCCAGGGCTGACACCCCCACTCTGGCTTTCCATCACTCAGAAGCTGGACCGTTTCCTTGCTGATCTGCACCAGGTCTCCTCCCTGCTAAAGGCTTCCATCAAGCAGTTTGAGAAGAGTGACCCCCCTGGAGGGGTGCAGGTGAGCCAGGGGCATGGGGTGGGGAAGACTCACGATCCCCCAGGCTCCATGGACCTAGGGCTCAGCTAGGGGACAGCCAGGGTGGGTGCCATCATCCCATTTTTTTATCCACTCATTCGACTAAGATTTACTGGACACTCACGATGTGTCATATCCTGGAGACCCAGCCTGGGACACACTGACCTCTCCCTGCCCTCATAGGGTTTAGGTGCAGAGGTAGAAGTAGTCTTTAAAATAATAAACAAAGAAGTGGGGGTGTAGTTACAAATTGTGCCAAATGTCATGAAAGTAAGATTGAGGACAATGGGGAAGGAAGGAGGGCCTCCCCAAAGAGATGGCATTTAAGTTGAGGAGGAGAAGGAGCCGGCCTTGGGAGCAGGAGGGGCACTGCTCTGGGTTGAGGGCAACTGTGTTCCAAGGGGCTGAGGTGGGATTGTGCTGGTATGTTCAAGAATGGTATGGCGGCCAGTGTAGAACAGAGTGTTGGAGCGGGGCAAGAGAAGAGAAGAACTAGAAGAGAAGAAGTCAGCGGAGGCTGTATCGAGGAGTTGGGCTGGGATTTGACTCTAAGCCAGCAGGGAAGCCCCTGGAGAATTTTAAGCAGCGGGGTGCTTAAAGCATTGGCGCTTTGAGATCCTACCAGCCGCCATGTAGGGGAACAGACTGCAGGGGGAGCCAGAGAGCAGCAGGGAGCCCAGGGAAGAGGCAGGGATGAGTGTCCCAACTAGAGATGTAGGCCCTTGGACAGGTGAGGTTGCCATGGTGACAAGAGGGGACATGGCTTGAGGAGATGTTTTGGAGATGGCAAGGATAGACTTTGTGCGGGACCTTGAATGCCAAGCTGGGGCAGTCAGCCATGATGCGGGTGTGGGGAGCCCTGGAAGGCTGTAGAAGGAGAGTGAGGATTGGGCCTCAGGCCCCCTCCCTACACTGGCAGGAAGCCTCCAGGTGTCTGAGCAAGTCCAAGGAGCTGATGGAGACGGTGCTGAAGGACCCAGGCCTGCTGGGCCTCCAGAGGGAAGGGGGAGTCACTCTGGCCAGGCTGCGGCAGGAAGCTGGGAGGCTGGACGACAACCCTGATGTCAGGTATGAACAGCCAGGCTTTTCCTCCCCGACCGTTGTCCACTGACCTGGGCGTTTGGAGCAGGGAACACATAGTGTGGACCCTAAGGATGCCTAGCATGGGGGCACTTGCAGGGTCCAGATCCTGGGCTGAGGCTTCGGTAAGGTCTCCGCCCCTTCTCTGCCACCCCCGCCTTCAGCCCCAGTCATCTTCAGCCCGATGTGGGCATCAGAGGACAGCCACTGCTCGTTTCTAGTCACTTGTAAGCACTTTCTCTGGCTTTCTAAGACACGAGGCTGAATCCCTTCAAGGGTCCATCTCGTTTATTCCTCAAAAGAACCTCGTGAGGGCCCCATCGTCCTCATTTCGCTGATGGGTAACCACGGCTCAGCGAAGCAGTGGGAGAACCAGGACACGTGAGCAGTAACCCCTGCACCGCGCTGCCCTCCCTGGAGGGCTTCTCACCCGGGCGGAGAGAACTGCCAGCTGTGTCAGTGGCCTTAGAGCTGCCAAACAAAAAAATCCACATGCCCGGAAAGTACCGGTTTTCTTAAATTTAGGGGTGTGGGGGTGTGCAAATTGGTAATTAAATCAGTCAGTAACTGGAGATATTTCGTCTCCATTAGAACAAATGCAATTATGGAGTTTGCATAAGCCTCGAAGAACAATTTGTTTATTTAACTAACACCTAAAGAGCACTTAGTACGAGCATAGCCTTGTGCTAAGGGCTTTGCAAATATTAACTTGTTTAATTCCCACCAGGCGGAGGCTAGTACTATCCTCATTTTACGGTGGAGGAGCCTGAGGCTCAGAGAGAGGTTAAGGGACTTTGCAGGATCACACAGCCGAGGTGTGTGAATCTCGAACACCCTGCCCCGCGCTGCATCCGCAGACAGAGTCACACTGATGTGGGTCCTGGTGCTGGGTGTGGAGCCGCCTCCCTGCTCCTCACACAGCCTGGCTCTGTCTTTCCGGGCATGACCCCACCTCACTGGCCAGTGGCCCAGCTCCCCGGTCCACCAGGGGCCTCGCCAGACTGTTGGCCACCAGCGGCTCCACCAGGGGGCGGTGTGGTCCCACGTGAGCCTCCGTGCTTGTCTGTTCTGCAGCTGGGTCCCTGCCCACCCCTTCCTCCCTCCGTCTGCCAGGCTGGCTGGCATTTTCTGCGCACTGACCCTGGGCCTTCACCCCTTCCTGGAAAGGCAGTGATCTGTGGGAGGCTGCAGTCAGACGAGGAGGCTTTCCTTCCATCTCCTTTTTTCCCTTTTCCATTTGAATAAGACCCCGTAGGGCAGAGGCGGGTGGGGTGGGGTTTGAGGGGTGTAGGGAAAACCCCAGATTCCTCCCTTCACTGAAGTGTCACCATGCCTGGATCCCGTCTGCTCCCTTCATTTATGTCTTGACTATTTTTTAAAATTCTGTGCAAAAAAGCATCAATTGGATTCCAATTCAGAATCCTATGCATGAGAGTCAGTTCCTCTCTCTGGACCACAGTTTTCCCATCTGTAAAATGGAGGCTATGGCCGAAAGGCAGGTTACAGCCGCTCACCATCATCACACTAGAAATAATAAGCCCGAACACTGTGTGCTGGATACCGTTAAGCGTTTTGAATGTGTGAGGGCTGCTTCTCAGCCTAAGAAGCTTTAGAAAGCGCTAATGTCCAGGCTGAACTCAGAGCCTGACTCAGTTGGCTTAGGGTGGGTGTGAACCCACGTCTGTCCAGCTCAGATTCCCAGGGGATCTCTCAGGGAGAGGGAGGGTCATTCGGTTCCCCGCTGTGTCCTCTGGTCTTCTCAGTCCCAGGAGAGGCCGTCTGAGGTCCAGAGAGGGGTGGGGACCTGCCCGAGATCACACAGCAAGTCAGCAGCTGGAATGCCCGGGCTGGAACCACGGAGCTGGTGGGATTGGGGGGCAGGCCCCTGGGCTGGGCAGGAGCACCGGCAGGGAGGCCTCGGGCCCTATTTCGCCCCCTTCCACCTGCCAGGAGCCGTCTGGCCGAAGCCGCCGCCTGGTATGGCCTCGTGGACGAGCAGCTACATGTCCTGGTCACTGCATCTAACCACCTCCTGGGGAGGCTGGAGCTCCGCATCCGCCTCGGCCGCCTGGAAGCCGCCATCCACCAGGTGGGAGGGGAGGCTGGCCTCTCCGGAGTCAGGGGGAGGCTGGCCTCTCCACGGGGAAGGCCTCGCCCCAGCCCCTGCCCCAGCCCGGCACTCTGCTCTGGTGTGAGGACACGAGGCTGGCCCTTCTCCGAGACCCAGGGGGGCGGCCTGTGACATGGTGCATGACACGGCACTCCTGAAATGTCGCGTGCGGTGAAGACACCACCCCAAACGCTGTTCTTATCCCCCCTGGGCCACGAAACCTTGTGTATACGGTTTTCCAAGCTCATCACTTACCAGGGATGGGGGACAACGTTAAGGTTGCTCCCATTCATCGATGAGGAAACTGAGGCCAGAAGACATCGCATCACCTGACTGTGGTCACACACTTGGGAGTCTGACCCTGGAGCCCACACCCGGCGTCACTGCATCTGACTGCCCTTCATTCACACTGGGGGCTGCGGAGTGTGCAGACTGCCTGGGTTCTGATCCCGGCTCCAGCATTGACTTGGACCCCAGACAACTTATTTAACTACTTGTTGCCTCAGTCTCCTTATCTGTCAAATGGGGGGATAATATGAGTGCCTGCCACCAATGGACTCTTTGAGGATGCAGTGAGTACGTACTCTCTAAGGCACCCCAGGATAAGAAGGGGACTTCTGCTCCTGGGTTCGAGAGCCGTTTTATTGCCTCTGTCCCTCATCGAATCCTCACGTCAACCCCATTTTGCCACTGAATAAGCTGAGGCCCAGATAGGGAATGTGACTTGCCCAGCTCACACAGTGAGTTCATAGCACGCACCACACTCTACAGAAGGCAGCATTTCCCATTTGCACCGCCCCGGGGATGAGGAGCTCATTACTCTCAAAGCTGCCTCTTTTATGGCTGGCAGCACTGAGTGGTTAGAATAAGCTGAAATTTGCCACCCCGTGACTTCATTCAGACAAGCGTGCACTGACGGCCTACTTTGTGCGTGGCACTGGCCAGGCCGGATGCCCCCTGGGGTCCCACTCGGGGAGTCCCGTCCCCTTCAGATAGTTGAAGAACATGGCAATGCACCTGTCCTCTCCAAATGTCCCTCCTGCCCGGAACCCGGAGGGTCTCAGTCCAGGCCAGGCCCCTCCACTAAGTGAGGACGAGAGGATCCCCACCTCCAAGGGGGCGGGGCAGCTGGCCGAGGGGCATCTCCGCGGGCACCCCTAACCTGGCACCCCTAACGTCGGCACCTCCCTCCCCTGCCCCAGGTCAGCAACTGGATGGAGCAGGAGGGGAGCCAGTGCCTGCAGGTGCTGACGCCCAAAGACAGAAGCTTGGAGACTGTGGAGAAAGCCCACGCGGAGTTTGAGGACTTCTTCCTCCAGGCTGCAGTGCGTTTCTAAAGCAGGCCCGGAGGGTGTGGAGAGGGCAGTGGAGGAGGGGGGCACTGCTAAGGCAAAGGCATGGGGGGTGGGAAAGTGCAAGGAAACTTCCAGAGACAGTGAGGAGACCAGCTTGGATCACAGAGGGTTCAGGTTAGATGCTGTCTCCTCCAGGAAGCCTTCCTGGATCACCGCGTCTGAACAAAGACCTATCTCAGAATCCCTGGAAGATTTCGTAAAATGCAGATTCCAGGCTTCCACCTATTAAGTCAGCCTCAGAGGTAGGGGCAAGGAATCTGCGTCCTTCATGTACTGGAGCCTAGGACACAGGATTTAGCCCCTTTCAGCCCTCAGGGAGCTTCCAGGCCAGTGCGGGCTAGGGGTGCCAGACAGGGAAGCAAACAGAAGGGGGAAACGTGGGGACACACGGCAGGAGTCCCTAACCCAGACGCCAGGTCAGGGAAGTTTTCCAGAAGGAGGTGGCATGGAGCAGTCAGTGTCAGCGTCTAGGCAAGTGAACTGTTGAGGCGGAGGCCCCGTGCCCATTCTGTAGATGAGCAAACAGAGGTCTGGGAAGCCTCACACGTCAGCAGTGGGGCGGCCGAGGGTCCCGGCCTGTGGAGGCGGCCTCAGCTAGGAAGGCACCTGAATGGGCACCCGTCCTGTCCCGCTCAGGCCCAGTACCGCCGTGGCCTGGAACTGTCCAAGCGGGCAGCTCAGCTGGGGGCCACGGCCGGAGCGGCGGGAGGAGCGCAGTGCCCGGAGCTGGCCGCCTTCGCGTCCACGCAGCGGGCCTTCCAGGCCAAGCTGACCCACTTCTACATGGCGGCTGAGCGGCAACGCACAGACCTGGAGACGCTGCTGCACCTGCACCACTTCTGCAGGAAGGTGAGCCTGGTGGCCCGCCCCGCACAGACCCTCCCCGGCCCCTCTGGCTGCAGGGGGGTTGCGGGCAGGGAGCAGCCCACACACAGCGCTAGGCTCGTCCATGATTCCTCCTGCGGTCCTGCGGGGCGGACGTTTACCAGAAGGGAAGCGAGGTTCGAGAGGATGGGCGGCCCCCCTTTAACTCCATCCTGGCTGATCTCCGACCCCAACTGGTCCCCTTACACCAGCCTCCCAGCAGCCTGGACGCCAGCATTCAAAGGACACTCAGAAATCATCCGCTTCTTAAACGGTGGGATGAGGGGAAGGGGGCCTGGTTTTTCTGAGAATCCAGTCAAAGCCCTAGGCTTTCTCTCTGCACGTAGCTCTCTGCAGACAACTTGGCAGGTCAGGCCAGGCTAAGAAGCGTCATCTTGCCCCACCCCTCTGTTGCAGAGTTGGGGAAGGAAACAGGATCAGAGAAGGACTGTCACTTAGCCAGTGTCACACAGCAAGCCCGTGGCACCATTCTAGTGTTCTTTCCCATGCCCCGCCTTGCCCTACACAGTTGGCGGGGCTGGGGGAGGGGGGGGACAGTGGGCGGAAGGTGGGCCCAGAGGCTTTTCTGAGCACCCTCAGAACAGAGGCCTTAGTCCTGCCCGGGAAGCCGGAGTTTGGCCAGCAGCGGGGAGGAGAAGGTAGGGCTCCTCTGGGCGATGGGGTCGTGGGCAGTGCTGAGATAGGAGGCCAAGAGGAACGCCACTGCTGTGCGCCCATCGTCTCTTGGCAACCCAGTGTGGCAAAGTAGAGCGGTCCTGTTTTACAGATGAGGAAACTGAGGCCCAAAGAGGAAAACGCTTTGCTCAAGGCTCCCCAGAGGGCCGATGGTCAAGCGGGATTTGATTGAAGAGACCCCACCCCCCAACCCATTTAGCCAAATGTCTCATGTTTCTCCTGGGGACACTGAGGCCTGGGAGGACCAGCAGCGGCCCGGGACAGCTGTACCCCGGATCGGACAAGAACCCACAGCTCTGGCCCAGGCCCAGCGCCCCCAGACTCACCCCCGAGGGACAGAGCGTGGGAAGAGCCTGACCTCAGCCTCCCAACTGTCGGGGCCCCGCACCCAGGGGACGGAGACTGCAAGGTGCTTCAGAGGGGAAGCCGGAGAGACTCTGCCCACGTCCCGCCTGGGGCCCTGGGGGGACGGGACACCCTCTCTGCCTCCGAGGGGCCATGGGCAAGGGATGTGGCCCATGGCGGCCAAGGGACCCCTGCTCCCGGTTGATGGAAGACAGCCAGGCGGGGCAGAACCTGAGGTCTAGATCTGGGGTGGCTTGTGCCCGCCCAGGGCTGTGTGACCGCATTGGGCGGCCTTCCCTGCCCTGGGCCTCAGCTCTCGCCAATAATAACAGCCATAATAGTCACAATAACCAAGGCTTCTGTAGTTCTTAGTATGCGGTGGGCCCTGTTCGTCATTCACATATCATTTTATTGTCACATCAGTCTTCCGAGGCAGGCGCTATTCTTAGGCCCATTTTACACACAAGGAATCAGAGAGGTCAAATAACTCATCCGGGGTCACACAGCTGGGAAATGGCTGAGCTGAGATTCAAACGCAGATCATCTGGCTCTTGCTGGGTAGTGAGAGAATTCAATTAAATGCAGGTAACCCCCGCCCCCCGGGGTTTACTCACATTTGGTATTATTATTATTAACACCAATGTTATTATCGTTAGTAGCCGTGGAAGTGGTAGCAAGGCCCCATGGGTTACGGACGTCTGGCTGCTTCTCTCCTCGCTTACTAATTTTGGCCCATCTCCGCCGCCTAAAACAAACTTGCTGTAGCTCCGGGCCTTCGAACTTGCTGTTCCCTCAGTGGGGAATGCTTTTCCGCAAGACCAGCTGGTTTCTTATCTTTCTTCAGTGCTCAGCTCCCAGGTCCCCTCGCCGCCAAGCCCCCATTCGCTCTCGTCCTCGTTTCTCTCACTTTAAGGTGCTCACTGTGATCTGAGATGATCCTGTCGCTTCCTCGCCTGCTTGTCTGTAGCCGGGGCCAAAGGGATGGAGGAAGAGTGAGGAGGGAGGAGGGAGGAGGGAGGAGGGAGGAGGGAGGATGGGGGGGGTGAGAAGCCAGAGCCGCACCCAGGCCTGGGAATCATACGGAGGCGGGGGGGGCAGCCTGACCTCGACTCCCACCGTGCGTGCCTGGCCCTCTGGCTCTTTGACCTGGGCAGGGCCCTGTTCCTCTCCGGCTCCGAATCTTAATCCACATAATGGACGGTTCAGCAAGAGGATTTCTGAGGCGCTTCTGTCCCTGTCCAGCTCAGCCTGGAAGATCGAGTCCCAGACAGACGGACAGGCAGCCAGGACATCCCTGTGCTAGGCTCAGCCCCGGGCAGAGAGCGCGAGCGTGCGGCGGCTTTGGCACTAAATAATAATAACACAATTGCGCCGCTAACAGAGATTTATGGAGCCCTTTCCCAGCCATGAGCTCCGTGTGCTTCCGCGAATATGAAGCCATTTATCTAAAGACAAGTTCCCTTAATCCGCGGAAAGATGGTTTCCTTGGAGAAAATGGTTCTCCAATCCCCACAGCTAACAGCTCGCTGTCGGTTCTAAATTAATGGAGAGAAAGATTATGTTTTTCACAAGCTGCTGGGAAGTGTGTTGGCTCCTTTGCAGCCTGCAGACATTTTGTGGGTGAAATAGGGACAAGCAGAATCCCAAAATGGGGCAGAGGCCTGGCTGCCTGAGGGGCCCTGGGCTGGGTTGGCTGAGGGCGTCTCCAGCAACTGCGGGCCCTGGGCCTGCCCAGGCTGTCCGGAGTGCTTGCAAGATACCCTGTCAAAGACTGGATACATCTGAGTTCAAATCCCAGCTCCTCCGTGACTTGCCATGTGACCTGGGGCAAGCGATTTCCTGTCTCTGAGCCTCAGGTTCTTCCTCTGTAGAATGGGCCGCTGGTACGAGTCGATGAGATCATCCTTGAGAGGTGCTGAGCCTGGCAAACAAAGTGCTCGGAAAATATCAGCTAGGGGCCTCCCCCTGCGCCGCTCATAAGGGGCGAATGCAGCAGAGAACCCACATGTTCCTCTCTGGATCACCCCCAGAGAGGGGTAAGGCTTTGCTGGCCCCCAGATCAGGCCTGAGGACCCCAAGGGTGCTGGGGGCGGCTCGCCGGTTGTGGGTGTGTTAACCTCAGGGACGTGAGTGAAACCACGGTCTTCGGCGGGCCATTGGCTGGGCAACGTCTTATGAATTCAACCCAGCAATCCGTATTTTCTGCTTGGGGACGTACATCCCTGTCCTTGGCAGCACCCCCCCAGCCTCAACCCCGCACCCCCTCTTCTCGCCCCCAGATAACCTGGTTCCACGCGGACTGTCAGGACCTGATGAGGCAGCTCCGGCTGGGCAAGACGCCAAAGGCCAGCCCTGGGGACCAGCGCTGCCTCCACCGCTACCTGCAGCGTCTGGCGTCCGAGTTCCCCGCCGAGAAGCTCCGCGCCATGGGGCTGCAGGTGGCCTCTCTGAGCCAGGAGGGCCCGGGCCAGGCACTGTGGGAGGAGGCCCGGGTGAGGCAGGAGGAGATCCAGACCCTCCTGAAGAAGGCGCTGGCCCACTGTCCGTGCCCAGCGGGGCCCACCGCCCACGCGGCACACCCGGAACTAAAAAGGGCAGCTGCCAAGGGTCAGGGTCTGAATGCAGATATCGCTTCCCAGGAAAGGCAGGGCCTGCCCCTCCGGGACTCACTGTGCCCAGATCGTTGGCCACATTCCTGGTGGCCTCGGGCCCCTGCAGAGGAGCAGAACAGAGATTTCCAGACAGGCCTTCTGCCCCAGGAAGCTGGCCAGGCTGTGGAGGCTGATGAAGTCAAAAGCTCCCATGAGCCCTTTGATCCTGCCCCTGAGCCTTTCCTCACCCCCGTCTTCTCCTGGCAGCGACCCCCTGGGCAGAGTCAGGGCTGCCATCCCACTGGAGGCAGCTTCTCCTCGGAGGGACTCACAGATGCCTCTGGAGAACTCACCCCGGACCAGTCTCCCTGCGTCTCTCTAGCTAGGACCCCCGCCAATCACACCAGACTCCAGAGGGTGGCTGGGGAAGGGCCCAGTGACAAGAGGAAATTGGGGAGCCCTGGCTGAGCCCCTCTGGACACGGCTCCTGGGCAGTCGCTGTGTGTTTGGCCTATGCCAGGAGAGGGCAGGAGCCTGAGCCCACTCTGAGCCCCGGGAAACTGCAGGAAGACCTGACTCCGGATGGGAATAGGGAGTAAGGAGGGCAGGGCAGGGCATAGTGGAGCCTGGGACGGCCTACACAACCCCCACATCCCATCGCGGGACAAGTAGTTGGTACAGAACCTTCCAGAAGTCTCAGTCCCAGGCAAGCCAACAACCGCCTGGAGTTCAGGGGTGCACAGCCTTCTCCTTGGGGTCGTGAGTGGGGGGATTGGGGAGTGGCTTCTTAACTGAGACACGGATTGAGTGCCTGTTTATTTGGCGGTGAATTCAGGGTCCACTGGGGGAGGAGTGGGGGGTTAGTCTGGGAAGGGAATAAAGGGTGTGTTGTCAAGCAAATCACTGCATGCGGCTGCTTCTTCTCCATGAAGAGAATCATCTGGCAGCCAGTTAGTGCGCCCCAAAGGAGTAAGGGCTGCAAATGCACTCTCTGCTCTCTCGCTGGCTCCTCCCACCGGCAAGAGCCCTCTCTCTGTCTCACCTTCCAGGGACCCCGCTTGTCCTGGGCCTCCAGAGAGAACCCTCTCCCCCTCCCCACGCTCTACCAAGTCTACTCTCCCCAGCCCAGGTCGCCACCTCTCTTCAGGCATAGCTTCGTAGGGCTCTGCTGGTGGTGGGGACTGGGTGAGAGTGGGGAGCCCCATGCCCGTCCAGCAGGAGGACAGGGTGGGGATGCCTGACACTTCTGATCTCAGAATATCTGGAGGACAGCCAGCCTGTCACATCGCCCAGAGTCACCCCTGCCAGCACCTCCCCTGAATGTCATTATGCTGAGATGGTGTGACGGGTGCATTACCAAGGAGGTCCCTGGCAGCCTGGCCCTGGAATTTTCCTGGCTGCGGGCTCATCTGTGGAAGGAGGGGGGTTAGGACCCGTGTGCCTAGGAGGACAAGGCAAGCTCGTCTGGAGACAGCTCAGCAGGGAAAGCAACACAAACCTCAATGCCCAGGATGGCTTTCAGGAACCTTCTAGGACTCAAGGTTTTGTCAAGTGTGGTCTGTGGCCTATCTGCCACAGAACCATGGGCAGAGCTGATCAAACGCAGGTTCCTGGGAGTCCCACCCAGATCATTAAAACCAGACCCTTGGGGCCAGAGCCTGGCTGAAATCTGCATTTATAATCAACCGCTCAGGTCTTTCCCTTGTGACACGGCCAGGTGGCATTCTGCGGGACAGCACTTGGGGCTGGGGTCTGAGCTGGCCCCCCACCCCAGGCCAGCTCTGTTTCCTGTATTCCAGTCTCCTGCCTTTCAGTCCAGACTGGCCTGAGGATGCAGGAGGCATGTGATAAGCCCACCTCCCTCCATCCATGCCTGTCGCCTCAGATGGGGGGTTGAAGACTCTTAAAATGCTGTTGCTATAGCAACAGCATCCAACCAGTGGGGACCACAGACAGGGAGCCAGGGCACCTGGGGTGCAACGATGGGAACTAACTTCTGAGAGAACACAGACACGAGAGGGATGAGGGGGGCAGGGGAGGGGGATAGATGGTCCTGGAATTCTTCGAAGGGAGGGCTCCCCAAAGCCATCTTGTGCATCCCTCTGTCTCTAAAAAGAACCAAACCCCATCACAGCAGCCCATGGAGAGGGGATGCAGAAACAAAATATAATGATGAATGAAATAATACGTAGCGTAATAGCTAATGTTTATTCTACATTTTCTTTCTGCCTAGCTCGGTGCTAAGCACTTGAAAAGCTTTACAGGGCTCACAGAATCTTTCACGACAACCATGAGTCCAATACCAATTTCACTGAGAAGGAAACCAAGACTCAGAGAAGTGCCATGCAGGGAGCGGCCGAGCCAGGATATTTTGGACCCACCTGGTGACAAGCCGGGCTGATCGCTGGGTGTGTGCCAGTCACAGGCTTTGTCCCCTCGGAGGTCCTGCTGAGCTTGGCCGCTACCGTGTGCCCAGGGGGCTAGGCTGGGCCAGTCGTGGTCCTTCGGGCCCTTCACACCTGGTCTCCAGGAGCACACGAGCCAGTGCGGCAAAGTGGCCAGTCATGTGGCTCTAGAGTTGGATGGACTGGATTTCTGCCCAGGCTCCACAGCTCACGAACTGAGTCCTTGGCCAAGTGGTGCTGTCTTTCTATGCCTTGGTTTCCTTCCTCCAGAGAATAATCAGATCTCGGAGGCTTGCTGTAAGTACTACCTGAATTAATATGCGGGAAGTCCTTAGAAAGGTGCCTGGAGCATAGCAAGTGCTCATTAAATGGGCATCTAGTATTACACTTCAGCACCAGCCTGGCCAGCCCCTGCCTTCATCATCTAGCAAACCAAGGGAGAAATTTCTCCAGAGGCTCCCCCATAATTTCAAAGAATTTTTTGCTCTTTGAATCGTGTGGATTTCTTAATTAATTTCCTGATTGACTGACTTCTGCCCTACCGCACCGGTGGAAGGGGCGTGGTGTGGCCTCCCCGAGAGACAAGTCGCACTAGTGACAGCACAGCTTTGTGTCAGCAAAGCCTCGGCCCCCAGGGGCTGCTCTGAGGAGGCGAAGGTGCCTCTGCTGGTGGGAGGAGCCATTAAGGACCCCAAGTCTGCCAGTGGCATGGCTGTGTATAACCGACCATGATGCGAGCCTCTCTTTCATGCTTGGGGGGCTGCAGGAGGGGCTCGGCCTGGGGGGGCGGGGTGTCAGGTGACACACGCTGCTGCAGACGGCCAGCAGGACCCCACATGGGGTGCTTTCCCTCCGGCCCTTGGTTTATCCTATCTGTCCAATTGGGTCACTAAATGGATAAGAATTTTTCTCATCTTGGGAATCAGAGAGCCCTGCCTTTGAATCCAGGCTTACCAGCCTGGCGACTGTGAGCAGGTCACAGCCTCTCAGTTTTCCCCACTTTCCAGTGGGTTCATCAGGCCTCCTGGGCCAGCACGCTAAGACCTCTGGGCCCCCCAGCCTTTTTCTTCTCCAGAGGGGTGACTGTCCTGTCAAGGAGCAAGCCGCAGGAATCTACTGGGCAGTGGCAGAAGCGGGCACCTCACAGTTTACAAAGGACTTTTCTGCCCATCTGTTTTCTCATGTGAGAGTCACTCTAACGCTGAGGGTCCCAAAGTCACCCTGTGGGGTGTCCCCATGTTACAGAGAAGCCTGCATGAAGACTGGAGAGGGGAGGTGACTTGCCCAAGGTCAGACCACAAGGAAAGCGGTCATAGGGCGAGAAGCAGGTAAAGCTCAGAATCTATACCCAGTTCCGATCAACACCAAGTCCGGGGATACAGATAAGCCTCCAGTTTGTCAGCCACTCTGAAGGGGGTGCCCCATACCCTCCTGCCGTCGTTACCCACACCAGACCCAGACCGGGCAGCTGGTTGGAGTCAGGGCACAGGCGCCCTCATAAAACAGAGATATTCTGCTCTCTGGGGGCTGAGAACTGGCCTCCCACCCGGCGCACACACGTCTGGCTCAAACCCCCGCCCTCTCCTAGCTTAAAAATTCACCTTCTAATGCTGGAGCCGATGGGCCCCCGGAAGAGTGAGTGTTCTGACTGGGCAACAGGGTTCCTGAAGTCCCGTCTCCTTCTGCTTGGGTCCTGATGGGGGACCCCAGGGGAACCGCTGCACTCTTCAGCCTTCACTTTCTCCATCTGTGAAATGAGAGGATCAGGCCCGAAACGGAAGGCAAACAGGCATCGTCTGGCATGTGCACCTGGGTGGCTCAGTTAAGTGACCCACTCTTGATTTAGGCTCAGGTCATGATCTCATGGTTGGTGGGTTTGAGTCCTGCATCAGGCTCTGCACTATCAGTGGGATTCTCTGTCTCCCTCTCTCTCTCTGCCTCTCCCCTGCTTGTGTGTTCTCTCTCAAAAGTAAATAAACTTTTAAAAAAACCATTGCTGTATAAAGTTAAAGAAGACCTAAAAAAAAAAAAAAAGGAAAGACATCTCAGGTACATAGATAGGAAGATCTAACATTATTAAAATGTCAATACTACCCAAAGCAATCAACAAATTCAGTGTAATCCATATCAAAATTCCAACAACCTCTTTTGGCAGATATGGAAAAGCCAGTCCTCAAATTCCCACAGAATTTGCCCATGGTAATTCCTGTGGCCCCAAACAGCCAAAACAACTTGAGAAAGAAGGACAACATTGGAGGACTCACAGTTCCTGATTTCAAAACTTACTACAAACCTACAGTAACCAAAACAGTGTGGCATTGCCATAAAGACAGACATGCAGACAAATGGAATAAAACCAAGAGTCCAGAAATAAACCCATATATCTACAGCCAGTTTATTTTAAACAAGGGTGCCAAGTCCACCCAACAAACAGTGCTGAGACAGCTAGATTTCCACATGTCGGAGAAGGAAGCTGGACTTCTACTTCACGCCATATACAAAAGTTAACTCAAAATGGATCAACGACGTAGACTTAAGAGCTGAAACTATAAAACTCTCAGAAGAAAATATAGAAGTAAATCTTCATGACCTTGGATATGGCAGTGGATTCTTAGATATGACACTAAAAGCATGAGCAACAAAAGTAAAAATCGATGCATTTGAGGGGCACCTGGGTGGCTCAGTTGTTCGAGCACCCGACTTTGGCTCAGGTCATGATCTTGCAGTTCGTGAGTTTGAGCCCCGCATCAGGCTCTGCGATGACAGCTCAGAGCCTGGAGCCTGCTTTGGATTCTGTGTCTCTGTCTCTCTCTTCCTCTCTCCCACTCGTGCTCTGTCTCTCTTTCAAAAATAAATAAACATCTAAAAATACTTGATACATTTGACTTTATCAAAATGAAACCTTTTGTGCATCAAAGGATGTTATTCAGGAAAGTGAAAAAGACAACCTACAGAATGGAAGAAAATGTTTGGAAATCATATATATATTAAGAGTTTAATAGCTAAAACCTATAAAGAGCTTCTATAAGTCAACAACAAAAAGACACACAATCCAATTTAAAAATGGGTAAAGAAAGAACAGACATTTCTCCAAAGATATACAAATGGTCAGCAAGCATGTAAAAAAAAGATGCTCAACATGCTTAGTCATTAGGGAAATGAAAATCAAAACCACAGTGAAATACCACTTCTTAACTGCAAGAATGGCTATCATCAAAAAGGCAGAAAATCACAAATATTGGTAAGGGTGTGACGACATTGAACCCCTTGCATTGCTGATAGGAATGTAAAATGATGCAGCTACTGTGGAAAAACTTGAGGATTCTTCCAAAAGATCGACATAAAATGATCCAGCAATTCCACACCCAGGAGTGTACCCCCAAAGAATT